CACTGCACTCCCATATGGCCACCGCAGTTCGAGTCCTGGACCTGGAGAGGGGCTTTCTCACTTTCTCTCTCTCTCTCTTTGTCTCTCTTTGGTGAGCACACATGCCCTATAGCAAATGAAAAATAAAAATAAAGTAAAGGACTATCCAGAGGGCCAAATGGTGGTGCACTGGTAACTTGATGTTCTGCAAGGCTGACCCTCGGGGGCGGGGTGTGTGTGTGTTCTAGGTTTGCACAGAGACCTCTATGTACGTACCAGGAGCACACACTCACTCTGGACCTGGGGCTGGCAGAGGCTAGTGACAGATCAGGGTGTCAAGACCCTGGTGGGTACTCTCTCGCTCTCTCTCTCATGGAAGAAATAACAAAATAAAAACAAACAAAACAAAACAAACAAACAAACAAACAAAAAAACCCACAAGCACAAGGGCTAGCGGGTGGTATAGTGGTTAAGACGCTGGACTCCAACATGGTTGATTGTGGTTTGAGTCCCAGACCTGGAGGCTTGAAACTCATGCCAGACACTTGTGCATGCATGCCCCAAATCCCAGGAGGTGAATGGAGAAGGAATTGCGGCATGGCCACTGCCCCGCCGAGGGGGGTGGGGTGTGACTTCTCACTTTCTGTCTCTCTGGCCAGTGCATGAGCCCTATGGCAAAAATCTCTCTCAAAAGAACGAACAAAAAACCAAGGCCACCCGTTATTGTCCTTGGTTTAAGGCTGCACCCAAGTTTAGGAAGGCTGCAGAAAGCACCTCTGTTTCCCTAGAGTTGGGCTAGAGCCCCTCCCTACACCCCTCTGTGCCACCTCCCGTTTTATTTTACTCGGGTTTTGAGCTCCTTCGGGGCAGATGGTGTGGACCATCCCCGCTGACTGCCAGGGCCTGGCAGAGGAGGCGCTCTGAGACAGGACTGAGTTTTTTCAGTCTTTCATGTTATCATGAATAGGATGATCCTGGGATTCTAAATCAATGTTGAATTTATTAAAATTGTAACTTTTTTTAAACTTAGAGTTTCTTAAGCCTTAGAATTCAACTTAGAAATGCGATTGCTCTATTTATAAAGCTGGTACAGTCATCCCTCAGTATCCTTCGGGGACTGGTTGCAGGAACCCCTGCAGATACTAAAATCCCCAGAGGCGCAATTCCTGTGTATAAACTGGTGTAGTATTTGCATAAAACCTACCCACAGCTTCTTACATACTTTAATCACCTCTAAATTGGGTATGATTCCAAATACAACGTAAATGCTATCAAAATAGTTGTTACACTGCATTTTAAAAATCATATATATATATATATTTTGAGAGGTTTTGCTGTAGGGTGCGTGCACTCACCAGAAAGGCAGAGAGAGACAGAGAGACAGAAAGTGAGAAATCACCCCCCGGGGGGATGGCCACGCCGCAATCCCTTCTCCTCCATTCTCCTTTCAGGATCTTGGGCATGCACACACACACACCCGGCATGAGTTTAAGCCACTAGGTTCGGGACTCGAACCGCGGTCAGCTACATGGGAGTTCAGTTCAGTGACATAGCCATTATGCTAACTGCTGGTCCCTAAAATTCATATTATTAGTATAATTGCTAGAGGGTGCATGTGCTCACTGGAGAGAGACAGAGATAAAGACTGAGGGAGAGGGAAAGCGAGAAAGCGCCCTGGGGGGCGTGTTCACCGCGGTCCTTTCCGGGTGTTACATTCTACTAAAAGTAGGGTGAGACCACCTGTGACAGTCCTTAGAGCTAGGACTGGTTTGTCCCTGGGAGACCCAGCTCAGGCCTCTTACCTGGATTTACCTTCGAAGTCCCACGTGTTTTGTGCTGTGTGCTGGTTTTGATAGTGATCCTTCTCGATATCGAGTTGTCTTGGGGCTAGATGGTGACTGATGCACAGGTAACGCTACACTCTACAGTCCTGGGCTCACATCCTGGGACCTCACTGTGCATGCCAGGCACACACGTGTGCCCGTGATCCAAGCTGGCTGAGGCTGGGGTTGGATTGCTCCATGAGGACCCTGGTGGGGGGTGTACCTGCTCTCTTTCTCTCTCATGAAAGAGATGACCTCTTCAAAACAGAACAAAAACATTTATGATTTGCACGGGTGGAATTTTCTTTTTAAAGAATTATTTACTTATTATTACTTTTTACATTTGACCGGAGAGAGAGAGAGAGAGAGGGAAAGCGAAAGTGAGAAAGAAAGCCACCTGGTCTGGGACTCGAACTGTGGTCGGCCATGTGAGAGTCCAGTGCCTTCCCTATCACCACTCCACCTGCTGGCCCTGGATGGGTGGAATTTTGCATCCCACTGAGGTTGCAGCTAATTTCCTTCACTCCTTGAACTTATTTCTTCCTTTTTTTTTTTTTAGAGATTTTTGCTATATGGCTTGTGCGCTCGCAGGAGAGACAGAGAGACAGGAAGTGAGAAACCTCCCCCCAGGGGGGATGGCCTCACCACAGTTCCTTCTTCGTTCTCCTCTTGGGATTTTGGGTACACATGTACACACACTTAGCATGAGTTTTAAGCCACCAAGTCCAGGACTCGAACTGCAGTTGACTATGCGAGACTCCAGCGATGTAACCATTATGCCATCTGCTGGGCTCCATGTCTTTTTTTTTTTTTTTAGAGAGCCTTTTGCTATAGGGTGCACATACTCGTTAGACAGAGAAAGACAGAAAGTGAGAATCACACCACCACCCCCAGGGGAAATAGGATGACCACACTGCAATCCCTTCTCCATTCTCCTCTTGGGATTTTAGGTATGCACGCACATGCACCTGGCGTGATTTTCAAGCCACCTGGTCCAGGTCTTGAACCATGGCCAGCCACATGAGAGTCCAGTACTTTAACCACTATGCCATCTGCTGACCCCGGAATGAACTCCTTTCTTTACCTCTGACTGGATTCTACATTCTTTTCCTGTGCATGCATTTTTTTCTTTGTTACTTGGTCACAATTCTGTAGCCAATTTATAGACAAGAAGTGTGGGTACTTACTGACAGCGAATGCTGAATCTGCTAGTGAGAGGGTACAGAGTTATTGACAGCATCCATCAGTTTAGATCCCCTTCATCCAAAGTGATCACTCAGCTGGTTTTCCTGCTCACGCCAGCGGACCTCAGCTCTGGCTGCACCTCAGCATCACCTGGGGAACTTCTTTGTCACTGAGCACAGTCCTGGGCCCACCTTAAACCAGCTGAACAAGAACCTCCTCTGGGCCGGGCTTTGTTGTGTGTTCCAAATGCAGCTGATGGCATCTGGATCCACATGGCTGACTGCAGTTCGAGTCCCAGACCTGGCTTGAAAAACACACCAAGCACGTGTGCATGCCTGCCCAAAATCTCAAGAGAGAATAGAGGGGACAGGATTAGAGTGTGGCCATCTCCCCAGGAGGTGCTCTCTCATTTTTCCTATCTCTGTCTCTCTCTAACAGGCTTGCAAAGTAAAATAAATTAAAAACTATATATAATTGCTCCTACATGAGAGGGTCCTTGGGTCGCGTTTTAGTCCTCCCTCTATACGCTTGGTGTGTACGTGCCTGTGAGCTGGGCTGGCTGAGGTGCGGGGTGGATCGTGGTGGAAAGACCCTGTTGGGGATGCCTGCCTGTCTGTCTGCCGCTCTCTCATGGGATAAAGGAATGAATAAACCAAACTCTGTTACAAAGCGGCTGTAAAAGTGAGGGATTTCAGGTTGTAGTGCAAAGAGTCAGGGCAGCTTAGTCTGGCCCCCACACTCTCTTATCTTCTCCTTTTTGAAGGCCACAGGGTTAAACCTTAGGATATTAGTTGTGGTGTGCATGCACGCTTGTCATGTAACGATGACTTCGCTGTTCTGCTCCACTGCATGTACGTGTGCGCCACAGTCTGGTTTCGTCAATGAGCCGCTGCTGTCTGCGGCCCCTTTCAGAGGAAGGGAGCCCCTGGATTAGAGAGCTGGCCGTGGTCAGCTCGGCCTTGGTGCTGCTGTCTCAGCCCCGCTGGCCTTGGCTTGGTTTGGCCTTGGCTTGGTTTGGCCTTGGCTCGGCTCAGCTCAGCTCAGCTCTGCCCTGGGAGCTCTGAGAGGGGGGAAGCGCTCTGTGTGTTCTCCTGGTGCCTCACAGGCTCCCAAGGGGAGGAAGCGCTCTGTGAACGCTACTGGAGCTCTGGGAGATGCCCCTGAACTCCCAGATAAACAACATGACCCCAGTGTCTGTTTCCAATTCCCCTGCATCTCTCTTCCACCCACTCTTCGGAGGAGGAAAGAACCTTGCAAAACACAGGTCCTTAAAAAACAGAACCTCAGCCTCCTGACTCCCATTTTATGGAAACACTAATGTGAAATACACAGAGAAAATGAGAGGGACCCAGAAGGTTAGGTTGGCTAAGGCGCCGCTGTAGTAAGTCCATATAGCAGGGGTCTTACGCGTGTGCTCTCAGACCTCTTTTTTATTTAAAGTAATTCTTTTTTTAATATTTATTTATTTATTTAATTCCATTTGTTGTTATTATCATTTTTTAAATTTTGACCATAGAAAGATAGAGAGAGAGAGAGAAAGGGAAAGTGAGAAAGCAAGCCTCCAGGTCCGGGACTCGAACCGTGGTCGGCCATGTGGGAATCCAGCGCTCTTAACCACCACACCACCTGCTGGCCCCTCAGACCTTTTTGATATGTGTCTCATCTTTATTTGTTTAAAGTCCTTGTGCCTTTTTAATTTCTGGAGGTGCATGCAGTCACCAGAGAGACAGAGGAACACAGAGAGAGGGAGAGGGAGAAAGCACCTCCAATGGGGTATGTCACCGTTACAATCCCCTCTCCACTTCTCCACCCTGTTGGAACTCTGGGCATGCACTCACATACTCCAGCATATGTTCCAAGCTGCTAGAGCTGGGATTTGAACCGCTGTCAGCCGTGTGGGATCCTGCTCTCTTAACCACTAGACCATGTGGGCGGCTCACTGACTCTTACGAAGCTCTGACTATTGCCTGGCACAGTGAGGCGCACACTCAAGCGTCTGTCCCTTCGCCTCAGGTTTCTCTTGATGTACTCCACAGCTCTGTGCAGCTACTACAACTCGGCCCTGACGACGGCGGTGGTCGGAGCCGTCAAGGTAAGTGACGGCAGCTTCGGGACACACGGCCGCGTTGGGCACTGACTGTGAACCCAGCGCTTCTGATGGGAGCTGAGATTGGTTCTGTTTTCGGTGGGCTCGTAAGACTGTGGGCTTGTGCCATTTTCACCTAGGTTTGGGCGATGATCATTTCGTACTCCTCATCTCCTAGTGCATGAAAGAGGGAGATGTGCTCATTTAAAAAGGAGAGACAAACGATAGTGTTTACTTCAAGGGTAGGTGGAAAGGGATGCTATTGGCAAAGGAAGTAAAAAGCTGGAAAGAAATGTAAATATTACACCATGAGAGCTATAATTTGGTTTCTTGGGAGATTGTGATTGGCTTTTGTGCCCACTAAGCAAGGGAACCCTTGTTCAGACATGCTTTCAATCCAGGTCTGTGCTCAGCGATAAGGCAGTGAACGTAAGGGCCGGGGGGGTGGATAGTGTGTGTCTGTGGATATGAATACGCAGGCCACAGGCGCATGCCCGAATGGATGGGGTGGGGGTGTTCTGAATTCTCTTCTTCCTTTGTCTTTCCATTTGTGTGAACTTCTAGAGTGAGTTATAAAAATCGTTCATGTGTTTTCTTTCTGTCAGAGGGCACACGCACGTGCCAGGAGGAGAGCGAGAAGAATAAAGTGAGAGAGCACCCCCCGTGGGGAATGGTCATGCCTAGTCCTTCACCTCCATTCTCCCTCCCGTTGGGATTTTGGGCACACACAGGCACGCGGCATGTTTCAGAGGCTGCCAGTTCTGGGACGCACATGTGCAGTTGGCCATGTGGGATCTAACTGCTTTAACCACTCACCACACACTGCCTACAAGACTGCCCATTTCAATAGTAGACCTGTTCATTGGCTGCTCAGAGCCCTCCTAGAATACAAAGGACTTCAAAAAGTCTGTGGAGGGACTGGCAAGTGGCGTGGTGGTTAAGGGCGCTGGACTCCCCCATGACCCACTGCAGTTCGAGTCCCAGACCTGGCAACTTGCTTTCTCACTTTCCTTCTCTCTTATTCATCTCTCTCTGGTCAAATTGAAAAAGAAAAAGAAAAGAAAATAAACAAAGTTAAATAACTTTTTTAAAAAAAAGTCTGTGGAAAGCATGAGTTTATTTCAGTGCAAAGAAAGGAAAGCCATGAGTAGTGTCTTCATACTATACATTTTCCATGAACTTCTGGAAGGCCTCTTTTACACTGCACTGCTTGGAGTTTATTTGGTGTCTCTGCTCTGTACACATTGAAGGTCAACCCAATGAGCATGCACAACCAGATGATGGTAAAGAGGTGGGATCTGGCCGACTTACTACGCAGCCCAACTCTTCCATGTTAACTGGAATGGAGGGATGAATAACACTTCTATTATAGAATAATTTACTTCGTTTTTAAATCAAGTCCTATGTAGATTTAAAACCATTCATCTCTTCAGCCTTCTGTGAACTTCTACTCTGCACAAGGACCTACACAAAGTGACTGAAAGGGGTAGATTCAGCTTTACCGCATATACGAAGCTACTTCAGGCAATTTGTGGAACATGGCATTCAAGTGTAAGTTCATCTGGGCACACAAGTTTTTGAAGTTCATGGATAGTCTTTTCCTAATATTCATTTTCCGTGACCTTTGTAGAAGACACCCCCCCCATATATATTTTCCTCTAAATTATTTACTGTAAAAATGGCTGGTCCTCAGAGCTGCAGGTGGTGTGGAGGTTCAGGTACTGAATGCCACGTAGCCAGCTCCGTGGTTCAAGGCTCAGATCTGGTGGCTTGAGAAATGCTGGCGTGTGTGCTGCATGCCCAAAGTCCTGAGGAGAGAATGGGGGAGAGGGGATTGTGGCGTGGCCATCCCCTCGGGGGTGGGGGGTGATTTCTCACTTTCTCTCTTTCTCTCTCTCTTTCACTGGTAAGTGTGTGTGCCCAGCGGGAAAATCTAAGACACAAGAAAACAAAGACTAACCCTCTCTCCTCTTCTGCAGAATGTGTCCATTGCCTACATCGGGATGTTAGTTGGTGGAGACTACGTCTTCTCTGTGTTAAACTTTGTAGGATTAAATATTTGGTGAGTGGGATTTTAAAATGAATTTGTTTTAGTAGAAACAGAAAGACACAGACAGTCTTATTACATTAATATGTACTAAGCAAAAGAGCAAAGGGAAACGTTACACTTTAAGCCGGGAGGTGTTTTGACATCATTTCTGAAATAATTTTACTTCAGTCACTCAGTTCATCGATTTCTCTGACATCCTTCCTCGGGTGGATTCATGGAGACACATGGAATGAAAATGCATGCGCTGAGGGCTGAATTTAACTCATGTATCTTCTCCACAGAGAGGTCCTTTAAACCATCTGTCATCCTCCTGCCAAACGGGTGTCCTTAAACTTGGGCTCTGTCAAAGCGCAAGAATGCCCCAAGGCTTAATAGATACTTCTAGAAGGCATTTTAGGGTCTCAGATACGGGATGTGATTTGAAGATAATGGCATGTAGCTTATTCAATATAAAACAAGTACTTCTTGTCTCTCCACGGTTCTGTATTAGACTCGATTACAGACACCAAGGTTTTGTAAATAAGAGGAGACATTCATCAAACAGTCCACAAACTTGAAACGGAAAGCAGGGACATGAACCATTCTCTCCACATTAAATTGTACGTGGAAGAATGTCAGCACAGCTGGAAGTAGCACCTGTGGGATTCCCTGTTACTCATTTTTACTTTTGTCCCCTTTTCTTTTCAGCATGGCAGGGGGCTTGAGATACTCCTTTTTAACCCTGAGCAGCCAGCTGAAACCTAAACAACCCGTGGATGAGGAGAGCGTCCCTCCAGATCTGAAGAGCTAGAATGTGGGGAGGAACCGCAGACGGACTCGCCGACTGGGGTCACGGGTGGGGGTCTTACCTCTAGGATGTGAAGCCAGAGGTTCGGAGTTGGGAATTCACTCCCCTGGCTCAAGCACAAGTGGAATGTATGCAAAATGCCAAGAAAACTACCTCACATGCCTTCTTCACGCACGAGCCCTCACTGCCCTGAAGGCTGTGTGTGCAAAGCCTTCCACATGCTTCTCAGTAAGCCCCGGCCGCGTGCAGAGGTGGACCATGGAGCGCCCCGCCGCGCCTGCACTGCCCCCGGCTCATCGCAGGGCCTCGTGAAGGGCTGGCAGGTGCAGGAGGACCATTTTCTTATTAGCAACCTGGCCGCTAAAGCAAAGGGCCGGTGAGGACATTTTTCCAGTTTACACAGACACGTCTTGATTGTAATAAAAATAACCAATCAACAGCCAGTAAGGTCGTTAGCTTTGATGTAAGCTAACATCTGATGATTTTCCTAATCATCTGAGTCAAATAAAATGCTATTTCTACAGGTGCCTCTGACGGTGGTATTATTGAAGCCAGGCGGAAACAGCTATTCCTAATGCAGAAGGCCACTCCACCTGGAGTGACTAGATGCACGCTTTATGATTCATATTGGAAATAATGAGAGTAACTCAATGGGGGGAAAATACTCAGAGTCAAATTGAGGTCAGCCATGCTACATTCAAGTGTCTCGTTGCTTTTTTCTTTTTTGGAGAGGTTTTCGCTATAGGGTGCATACAGTCACCAGAAATACAGAGAGAGACAGAGAGACAGAAGGCAAGAAATCACCCCCCAGGGGATATGGCTACACCGCAATCCCTTCTCCTCCATTCTCCTCTCGGGATCTTGGGCACGCACGCGCTCGTGCCCAGTGTGAGTTTAAGCCACCGGGTCCGGGGCTCGAACTGTGGTCGACTACATGGGAGTCCAGTGACATAGCCATTATGCCAACTGCTGGTCCCCTCATTGCTCTCTTATAATCTCACTCCAGGTTTGTTCTGCAGTCTTTCATGAGCTTTCATCTAATGTGCATATTCTCACAGGCTTGCCCCCTTCCCAGATGGGAGATGTGTGGGAGGAGCCCATGGTAGGAGGTCCGTTTACCCTCCCTGCCTGGACGTGGGTTGTCCCCATCCAGACTGTGAGACAGGGTGACCCCATTCTGGGAGTCAGAAACCCTTCCAGTCCTGTCTTCATTGTTAACCTCTGGGGACCTTCACAATTACTTTGCCCATTATGGCCTACTATATATATATATTTTTTTTTTTTTCTCTCTAACCTTTTTTATTAATGTATTTATCTATGTGGTGATTTTTGGGCCACCAGGCCCAGGACTTGAACCATGGTTGGCCATGTGGGAGTCCAGTGCCTCAACCACCCTGCCACCTCCTGGCCCTTAGCCTCCAATATTTTAATCTAGAATTCAGCTGCATCTCTAAGTCTTTGCCAGCAGTAACCTAAGTTTCTAGCAGCTGAGCTGGAGATGGAGCAGTGTGGCAAACGAAGGACTGGTGGTGTCGACCTGCTGTCCCAATGCACTACTTTAATTAATTAATTGATTGTCCAAGGTGTATGTGCTTGCCCGAGAGAGAGAGAAAGAAAACTCTCCCCAGTGGGTCATGGTCATGCCACAATCCTGACCAGTTCTCCATCCCAGCAGGATACTGGGCACCCATGCACATGTACCGGTGTGTTTGGCAAGCTGCCAGGCTGGGACTTGAACCAGAGTTGGCCACGTGGGATCTGACTCTCTGTGCACAGGGCTTTAACCAGTGCATTATGGGGCTGGCCCTCCCATTTGTTTTTGATTGTGATAAAATTTACCATCTTAGCCATTTAAAAATATATATTTTTTAATTGCTAGATTGTGTGTATGCTCCCAAGAGAGAGAAAGAGAGAGAAAGAGAGAGAGAGAAGAAAGCATTTGCTAGTGGGACATGGTCATGCCACAATCCTCCTTCGTCCGTTTCTCTCTCTCGCACACACACACACACACGTGCACATTTCCAGGGCTGGGGTTTACATGGTCAGCCATGTGGGATCTGGCTCCCGGAGTTTGACTGCTGTGCTGCAGGGCCGGCCCTTAGCCAGTAAGTGTTCACCTTCCTGTCGTGCAGCTCCTCTCCAGACTGTTCCATCTTGCAGACTGCAGCTCTTTACCCATCACACAGCAGCTCCCTGCAGCCCGTGCCAACGCCGTTGTACTCTCTGTCTCTGAACTTGACTGTTCTGCTCCGTAGATATGTTATATACATGGAATCATCCATATTTATCCTCCTGTGACTGGCTTAGCTCACTTAGCATCATCCTCTCGATTATGCTTCCATGTTGAAGCGTGCATCAGAATGTCCTCCCTTTTAAAGGTTGAGTTATTTTATGTACATGCCACATTTCGTTTATCCTTTCATCTGTTGATGGATCCTTGGTTTCATTTTGCCTTCTGGCTCTTGTGAATAATATTATTATAAATAAAAGTATATAAGGATCTCCTTAAGCTCCTGCTGTCTATCCAAAGGGGGACTGCTGGGTAATACGGTAATTCTATTTTAAAATGTTGTCATTGCCGGAGAGAGAAGACACTTGCGGAGAGCGAGAGTGGTGAGGGAGAGAGCACCCTCCACTGCGGGGTGGTCGCACCACAATCCCTCCTCTGCCTCTTCATCCTGTCAGGGTTTTGATTACAAACACTCATGTCCCTAACATGGTTTTCTTTCTTTCTTCTTCTTTTTTTTTTTTTTTTGAGAGGTTTTTTTTTTTTTTTTTTTAGGGCACATGTGCTTGCCAGACAGACAGAGAGAGACAGAGAGACAGAAAGCAAGAAATCACCCCCCAGGGGAGATGGCCACGCTGCAATCCCCTCTCCTCCATTCTCCTCTTGGGATCTTGGGCATGCACGCACATGCGCCCGGCGTGAGTTTTAAGCCACCGGGTCCAGGACGTGAACCGCAGTCAACTACATGAGAGTCCAGCGACATAGCCATTACGCTAACTGCTGGTCCCCCTGACATGATTTTCAAGCTGCTGGGGCCAGAATTCAAACTGTGGTTGGCCATGGGGAAATCCAGCTCCCTGAACTCTAGACTATAGGGCTGGCCCATTTTTCGTTCTTTTCTGATGAGTGTCTTGGTTTTGATTTGTATTTTCTCAATTGATTAGTGATGTTGAACTTTTGTATGTGTGTATTTACCTGTTCACCATGTATTTATCTCCTTTAGAGAAATATTTCTTCAAAATCTTTGCCCATTTCTCTATCAGGTTATTTGATGTTTTTGCTGTAGAGTTACAGGAGCTTTTTGTTTAATTTGCCTTTCTTTCTCATACCAGAGGGTGTATATGTGTGCATGAGAGAGAGAACACACACACCAACAGGGCCTAGTCATACCACAATCATTTTTACTTCAGTTCACCATCATCTTAGGCTCCTGGGCACACATGTGGATGTGCTGGTGTGTTTTTCAAACTGCTGGGGCCGAGATTTGAACCCTGGTCAGCTGTGGTGATCGGATTCTTCTGGGCAGTGCTTAACTGATGGGTCTAGCCCTCAGCTTCCTTTTAAAAGGCTTCTAGGCCCAGTTGATTGGGCACAGGCCAAAGTGTACTGATGGCAGTGCTAGAAGCCATGTGACTGACCGTGGGTTCAGATCCTGAGTTGACCTGAAACATAGGCATCCGTGATCCAGACTAGGGGAGAGCTGGCAGGAGGGATGACAGTGTGGTGAGACCGCGTCAAGGGGACCTTTGTGTCTGTCATAAAAAGAAGTAAAATATTCTGGAGTGTGAGCTTGGAGCTCCTGGGCTGTTGTAAGTGCCTTCTATTGCACCTTAACACCCGTTATGAAACCAGAGACCAAAGATACGAAGCAAAACAAACAATAACCAGCCTTTTCTTTCTTCTCTCCAGTTTTTTTTTTTTTTTACTTAAAATTTTTATTCTTGGATTTTTTTTTCTAACTTTAAAAGCATACAACTTTTATTTATCAAGAATATTTCAACAAAACAGGAAAAACTTTTCAAAAACCCATAACTATATGGGACTTACATACTCAAGGTAGTATATTGATTGAGCAATTAAAAACTATGTGATCGTTTCATATAAAAATCTTGCAGAAAATTTGTTTATTGATGACTTCACTAATGATAATGTTACATACTCAACGAGAAGGAAATCTATCTGAAAAACTTTAGTAAATATGTATTTTTCTTATATTAACTTTCTGAGTGCAATTTCCTTAAAGGGTTGTGGGTTACATTTTGAACATCAACTAATATTCTAACACAAATCATTGTGTTGCTATTTTATAATGTTAGGCTGACATATATAGGGATAGATGAATAAAATAATGAAAAAAATATTATTGTAAGATTGTAGATTCAGAGATGTTAGAAATCACCATAAAATTTTTGAAATACTATTTAAAATGTTTAAATCATGTTCTTTTTTAAAAAAAATAATATAAGTTCTGAAAATACATGACATCGAGTCTGATGACTTTTTGTACTTTTCAGTGTTGTCAAAGTCTGTAGCGAAGTGAAGCAGAAGCGGCCGAACACACAGCGGTGTTCCATAGACAGCCTGGGGCCACTGTCAGAAGCCAGCGTCATCTTTGCTGTTCCTCAGCCCCCAGGGCGGCGTCCCTGAAACGTGAGCTATGCCACTGATCCTTTAAAGCCAAGGTTCCCACATGGAAAAAGGAAATGTACGAAGAGTCTTCATCATCTTGGAAAAGAAGCCGAGAATGCTGTTGGGCAATCCCTGGTTCATCCCCTCTATTTTTAGAGCGCTGTATCTTAAGTCTGGTAAACTTCCGTCATCGATGGCATATTCTTTCTCTTCTCCATCAGCTGAGAGAGATTACTGGAACACTGTTTTACACCAGTGGAACAAAAGCAAGACAAAGAGCTGTGAACTAGGTATTTCAGGACACAAGAGAAATGAAGATTTTCTACTGATAATTCAGCCTCCAGCAAACAAGCTAGCGACTGAACTTCAAAAATTTGAAAGAA